ATATTTGATTCCTTTTTCACATTTGTGTTTGTATCATTTCAATTAATAGATGCGTTTGCCTGGTTTTCTTAATTTTTCAGGGGTATTATCAATTTTCTCCTTGATCTTCGTACGTTTTCTTCGTCACGAAATTCAATGCAAATCTGTGTGAACGTGGTTTTCCTGCGTCCGTTAAAGCGCAGTTAGATGTGTTCCCATTTTATCGCATGATGGTATTCCATAACGAACGTCACTGTTCTATTCACCCTGTCCATCGATGACTGATGGCAATATGTTTTTTTGAGTACAAAGTTGGTTCGGTGCACGGGTTCTTGACGTTGAAGATGTCTCTTCTAATGCATTATATTAGTATTTGTTAAGAATAAATGATTGTCCGAGCACAGTTGCAGCAGAAGATCACCCTCATCTGTTCGCTGAACTGAAATACCAAAATAACCACATAAATATCTTTTTGTTCGGTTTATGCTACCTACCTGGGCATTAAAGTCACCTGCTATGAGTACTATGTTTGAGCGTTTAGCTTTCTGAAGAAGTTTAGAAAGCTTTTTGTAAAATTCATCTTTCACTTCATCCGGGCTGCAGTCATTGGGAGAGTAGGCAGAAACGACGAAAGGCGACGACGTGTGTCCCTATCCTTCCGAGTTCATACGCAGCTGTCTAGCTGAACAGCACATAGACGATTGTTAACGGGGATCCACGATAATAGTGCTTGTTCCGCCCTTGTGCTTTGTGATATGCCTACACCTACACTAAAAAGAAGGACATCTCGTCAAGATCCCAAAGAAAGGAGATCTGAGCAAATGTGAAAACTGCAGAGGCATTACACTACTATCAGTACCAGGGAAAGTCTTTAACAGAGTGTTGCTGAACCGGATGAAAGACACAATGGACACACAACTTCGAGATAAACAAGCTGGATCCCATAGGTGTCGGTCATGCACAGACCAAATTGGGACACTACAGATCATCGTCGAACAATCACTTGAGTGAAAGTCGTCACTATACATCAACTTCATTGATTATGAAAAGGCGTTTGACAGTGTAGATAGGAGAACATTACGGAAACTTCTTTGACACTATCGAGTCCCTGAGAAGATTGTCAATATTATCCGGAACTCATACGACGGACTACAGTACAATGTCGTGCATGGAGGACAGCTGACAGGTGCATACCAAGTAAGGACAGGATTCAGACAAGGCTGTCTACTCTCCCACTTCCTCTTTCGTCTGGTGGTCGACTGGATTATGAAGACCTCGACATCTGAGGAAAAACACCGAATACAATGGAAAGTTCAGGATCAATTAGACGATTTGGACTTCGCAGATGACCTAGCCCTCTCATCCCATACACACGAACAAATGCAGATAAAGACAGACAGTGTGGCAGCAGTCTCTGCATCAGAAGGCCTCAACATACACAAGAGGAAAACCAAGATCCTCAAATACAACACGGAGAACAGTAATCCAATCACTTTTGACGACAAAACTCTGGAAGATGTAGAATCCTTCACGTACCTGGGTAGCATCATCGATGAACAAGGAGGATCTGATGCAGACGTAAAGGCAAGGATTGGCAAACCAAGGGCCGCATTCCTTCAACTGAAGAACATATGGGACTCAAAACAACCGTCAACCAATATCAAAGTCAGAATCTTCAATACGAACGTCAAGGCAGTTCTGCTGTATGGAGCTGAAACTTGGAGAACTACTACAACCATCATCAAAAAGTACAAGTATTCATAAATATTTGTCTACGCGAGATACTCAACATTCATTGGCCGGATACCATCGGCAACAGCCTTCTCTGGGAGAGAACAAACCAGCTTCCAGCTGAAGAGGAAATTAGGAAAAGACGATGGAAATGGATAGGACATACATTACGTAAATCATCAAACTGCACCACGAGGCAAGCCCTAACTTTAAATCCTGGGGGGAAGTGGAAGGCCAAAGAACACATTACGTCGGGAAATAGAAGCAGATATGAAGATGAATAACAACTGGAATGGACTGCCCAGGACAGGGTTGGATGGAGAATGCTGGTGAGCGACCTATACTCCTTCGCGAGGAGTAACAGGCGTAATTAAGTAAGCAGGTGTCAGTCCACGAGAACTAGCCATCGGGTCGCCAGATACACAGACAGTGGATCTCATCAGGCTCTCCGTTATGGCGAGGTGAGGTCAAGTGAATGACTACATTAGGACCCTGTATGCATATTTCGGAGACACAGCATACATCAATGGTTTTAGCCATGGAGACCTGTTGGCCGATTTGATATAGGGTGCTTACTATGAAGGCTCCAATGAGTAGTTTGGAGCGAGGTTCCAGGAGACCTGGGACAGTGTTTCGCGCACTAGAATTGCTGGATATGGTGATACTTGAAGAGGAAGCTAGAATAGGTAGTAAGTGTTGAAAGTTGATGTAGGAGGAAAAATAGGAAGTAAAGAGGGAGGTTGATTACGAATACAGTGGTCATGAGTGCTGTTAGAGGTATAAGGGCGGTTATCACTTCCCGGTTGCCCACACCATGGGTCGATCTTTTTTAAACCCACCCCTCCTTGTGGGAAGGCAGCATTGCTGTCATGCTAGTTGTCTGAAAAAAAACCCTACTACCGACAGACCTCTGTACAGTCAGCAGTACAACTTCTCCCTCAGACCTTGGTTATGCTGCTTCTAGTCTTTCCACCCTTCAAACGACCTGTCTAGCATGGTAGAACCTTGATGAACATTTGTTCCAACCAGTATAGCTCGATTGGTTCATCACGATAGACAAGCCCGACCACCACGACAATGTAGCAATAAATGTCATGAAGGAATGTTCTAATTTGTTTTGTTCCGTTTTTTTTTAAAAATAATCTTTTTAACTCCCTATTTTTCTTTCTTTCAGTTTTCTCAACTTTTTCGATTTTCTATCTTATGAGTATGAACTGAATTTTTCCTAATTAATTATTTATGAATTGAATTGGTTCATTCATTTTAGGTCACATTTATTTGCTTCTTTCCATTTATTAATAAATACTATCAAACTTTCAATTCTAATAATTAATTTCAATATAAATGTGATATCTAAATAATTATTTTTATTTAATTTCATAATGATGAATAGGTTACCTATCGAATTCTATCACCCTCTTAAGTACAAATGTCATGTTTGACATATAGATACAGAAAGTTCCTAGAAATCGTTTGTTTGTTTTTTGTTAAACATATTAAACTATTTTGAGAGTTTCATCATCTGTAAAATAAAATAAAAAAGTTTTCTAAAGGTCAAACAAAACTTATATATTAATATGGAAATATGAAGATTATTAAGCCGATCTAAGTTGGATAATTAATAAAGACCTGAAAGTACTAGATAGTTGTTTCGAATTGACCTACGACTCTTCAGTAATAAGTATTCACAACTTTTTAACTGGGAGTCAAATTCAGAACTTTTCATCCCACATATGATCCTTTCTATGTTCATAACGAATATTTGATTTAAATCAGTTTGTGATCTAGATAAATTTTACTTGATTTTCAGACTAACGAATATAATTGTTAAACGTGCACTTTCTTGTCATTTGATCAAACGATGTATTTGTCAGGGCATTTCAGCATGTGCTGTAATATTTTTTTTGAGAAATGCATTATTTGCTAAATATTCAATCCAATTTAGTCAAAATATAGATTCCGTTAGTGACTAACACTACAAATTTTTTAATTGTGCAAATACAGTTGGATCAACCGCTATAAAATTCGTATTCTGTAAGGGTGGTTCTTTAGGATACATTAAAAAGTGTACAAATACACACATATGTTCAACTTTAACATTTATCGGTGTAATAAACGTTTAACTTTCCTTCATGATCGTAATACTTACGAGCTGAGTCGTGAGTAGTTTCTGAGGTGTAGTATAAATTTGTCTGAAGAATATATTGCTCTATGTTTAATAGAATATTTATTATTGGGTTCCTATTATAAACAGTTTACCCAAAGATAGGTCCAAATTACCTCAGAAAGATGATTCAACTAAAGGATTACCATAAGAAGTAATCTTTTCAACTAGTAATAACATATTAATAATAAACTAGTCAAGAACTCAATCATAATTGGTCAACTCAAAAAAAGTAGCATTAAATTACAACAATACCGAAATTTCCCCTTGATTATACAGGATAATTCTATGATACTTTTCAGGATCTATTTATATTTTTTGGCTAATTTTTCAACGAATCTTTTCCAATTTCTTCATATACATGTTATTTATTTAGTATTGTACCTAATTAATATTTCCTTCCTACTGATATCTGTTTAATAAGTGTCAATCATAATTCATTAAATTATTTTAGAAATAAAAAAGAACACCTTTTTTGTCAAAAAGAAAAGATAAAATTAAACAAACCAACAAAATGTATTACAAAAACAACATGAAATCCATGTAAACACTTCCTTCAATTCATCAAATAGAATTTTCTTTGAACTGTTTGGTTACTTACATGTTTACATAATGTAAATATACACTACACACATACACATATCTCTTTTCTCTCCTTATTATATATGTATGTAACTTAAACGACCTTTTATATTTTCTATATGAATAACTAAATAGAAGATTTTATCAATTCTATTATTAACTATGATTATTATAATTAATGTTACAGTTTGCCATAATTAAAATTAATACTGACAATGATAATACTACTACCACTACTATTAGTAGTAGTAATAGTAATAATAGTAATAATAACACTAGTAATAATAGTAATAATAATAGTAACAGTGGTAATTGTATTGACAATAATAATAGTAATAATACTAATAGTAACAATACTACTACTACTACTAATAATAATAATAATAATAATGGTAATAATAATAATAACAATGATAAGAGATTGATTTAAGAAACAGTAATTTTTAACAACAAAAAAGAGAATCGCAAAACAACATCATGATAGGTTAACAAAGAAAATCAGAATAATAATAATAATAGTAATAATGTTATCTCAACATGTAACGTGATAAAAGGAAATACATAAAAGATGAATAAAATAGATTTAAAAGAAAACAAAACACAATAAAATCATTTTACTAAGAATGTAAGCAAGAATACGTAGTGGTTAAAGATACATCATAAACTAATTGTAGATAAGTAAGTAAGATAAATGAGCATTAAGGACAATATGAGAGATTGAATTTAGGATCTAAATGGCTTGTAACGAAAGTTTAATTTTATGGATTGTTGAATATTCATTCAATGGTTTACATTTTTAGGCTTAGTTAAGAATAGTGAAATTTAATGATGTCGAATGTAAGATAGGTAATCAATTATCTATGGAGATGGATTTAAGTCAAGTAATATCGTAGATTGATTGGAACTTGGAAAAAGAAACCGACGAAATGCTATAGAATTTTATAATAAAAGGTGGTACAGTAACATAAATTTTCCACTAAGCTTTAAATTAATTCTTCTAACAGGAGATTTAAAAATAAACTAATTCATTAATTTATCTAAATATATCTACTGATTCATGTATTCTTGAAAAGTAGATTATATTGTAGTGAACGAGAACACAATTGGAGACAATCGAATGTACCTGAATACAAAATTACAGAACATCTTAGTAAAACCTGGGAACCATACAGTAAATACTTCATTTACAAACGGTCAATCAATTATCTCAAAGTTGACTATTCCTTCTAGAAAATGTCAATCAGTCGTCTCAGAATTTATTGTTCTTTCGTCTCCATATCAATCATTCTCTGTTCTCTTTCCTTCGACCTTCTACCTTCGGGCATTTTAATTTCGAATGATATATACTACTTATATCTGTCGACATCAGTAGTACACAACACAATGTTTGTTAAAACAGATAGTGATCTTTTGAGTTACTCTATTTAGTCATTGACGGAATATTAATCAAACAACAGCTGAGTGTTTGAGATACTTAGTTGATTTCAATCACTTCTTAACAGTGATCTTAAAAAACTACTTGCAAAATTAAACGAAGTGGTTGAGTGAAGATCCAATACTTGTGCAGTTTGGATGCTCACAACACATCAATCGATGACAGAAATTTGTATTATTGATTTGCATTTAATGATTATAATCCTGATTGTCATTTTTCTCGCATTCTCCTTTTGTTTAATCCCCATTAAACTTATACTTCAATGTAAAAACAAAAACAATTTACATATTGTAGGACAATATACTTGTCTTAATATATTTACTACTCCGTTGCTTTTTCATCCTTAAAGAATTCTTTACCAACAAAAAAAAAACAATATGTTTATCAAAAGATAACTTTTTATATGCACCAATTATGAATATAACCTAAACGCTTTAGAAAATGGCATCCTGAAGTAGTAATTTTTGCGCTAAACTACTTTTGATTCTCTTAATTAAAACAATAATTGAATCTCAAACGATACTTGGCAGTGACTAACATCATTGTTATTTCAAGCTGTACGTACTGACGATTCATCTTGAAACGAAATAAAAAAACCATGAATTTACATGTAAACTGAAGTGAATTTCCAAATCTAATCAATGGTGAAAATAATGTCAGTTATGAATTATAAGCATCCAAAAATATAGATCATTGAAACCCAGTAACATCGGTGACAAGGTTAACAAGATAGTCCACTACTCTGTTTGACTCTCAATGACCATTCACTAGCTGAAATGTTATCTTACATGCTTACAGGTCAAAATAATGAAAAGGTAATAATTAATTTTGATAACGTGTGATTGTGGAGACTGTTGGATTTCATGAACTGATTGAACTTAGATATAAACACCGTCGAATGCCAGTTCAGTTGTCTACATGTGAAAAATCTTTGCGCAAAACCGAATATTCTAAATACGATTCCAACTTGTGGGTCGAAGATCGTCATTACTTGGAAGTTCCATACTACGACGAAGTGATCATCCAGTAATTCCAAGTTTTTAATGGCGGTTTAACTAAGGTCAAACCATGGTTCTAATGAAATTCACACATGTAGAACGAACAAAATAAAGAGAATAGTTAATTGCCTCCAATTAACTTTTTTTTCTCGAAGACTATTGGAAAAGAAAGACATTTAATAATTTTAGAGAAAATTATTAAGAACAACAACTTTAGGTATTATTGAATAGTATCCAGTTATTTCAATTTAATTCATTTCTAATGTAGTCAGTCTAATCCATTGGTAATCCATGCCAATCTTCACATTCCAACTAGTATAATTCTATTCATAAAACCTTTTAAAATTAAAAAAACAAACATAAACATTACCATTTTTGTCTGATGGGAAAATATAAACAACATATGGGTGTATGACCTGGTAAAAATGAGGAAATAACAATGAAGCATGAAAATAACATTGAATATACAGTTAGATACAATACAATAAACTATATTTATGGTTGTTATTTCATTATTCTTTAAATGATTAAATTGAAAAGAGAAAGAACACATGCATAAACAGTTAACTAAAATGAAAATCAGAAGGAAACATGTAAAATGTGTGAGAAAATAAAGATGAATTGAAACAATATCACATTTGGATAAACGGTGTAGAAGAAGAAAAATTAATTGAGAATTTTATGATTGATTACGTCATAAATACGCTCTGTGTTTAAACGCCTTTGTTCTGTTTCACTCTTCCACATTTCAAAATTGAACTTCTCATCTCGATAGTGGAAAGCATTGTAATGATTGTGTTATGATATTAGTTAACTGAATTGTTTTCCAAACATAAACAAAACTTATACTCTCTTTGTAAGATTAATGTGAATGGGAAAAGTGTTTAAATTATGGGAAGAAATAAAGTGTGTGTGTGTGACTTCATTCAAGTTCTACAGTGTTTATTAATTCACATTAGTCTTTATTTTTACATAAACAAATTTGGTAAGAGTACACATACACATAATCGTTTTATTTTTGTCTGAGAAATATTTAGATGAAGAATAGATCAAATGAATGTGATCATCCTTTTTTCTTTTAAAAACTGTTAGTGATTCATTTACATGAAAATGAATATATTACATAGTTTAAATCATGGAAGGATCTTAGCCAAAATCATGACTGGAAAACTGGAAGGAGTGGATGAGTGTTTTGCCGTAGTATGGGACTTCTCGGTAGATTAATTGATGATTTAAACTATGAGAATTCTTCAATCTCTACGAATTTCCTCTATACTACTACTACTAATAATAATAATAATTATCTACTCACAAGTGGCAAGCTTCAGAATAGAATTGCCGGAGTTCTAGTGAGAAGCTGTGGCTAGTGGAGTTCTATCATGTAGTGTGTAAGAAGGTTGTGGAACATCTTGAGTTGATTGAAGTTAGACATGTACACCGTTGGATGTCAACTCAGAAGTCATTAGGCTGGCGTTCGCATCCGAGACCGAGAGTTTTAGATTCGATCATCAGATGCAGAGTCAAAGATGTGTACTGATGATGAATCCAATACTAGGGAGAGTGAGCCGTCCAGTGTTTCCAGGTTTTTAATATTAGTTCAGCTGAAATCAGTTTGTGTCTTAAGCTATAAAAATTCTACAATCTCTACAAATCCCCCTATACTAAAAGTAGATTATTTATAAAAAATTGTCCAGTTAAAACACACTGAAACACAAGCACTCTGTACATTACCATACAATGGTTGGACATACATAAGCAGTATATAGCAGGAATTGGAAGTTGGATACTTACTAGCAGTAGAGTGAAATAAAGGGAAAATGAAAGGAAACGGATAGCGATCGGAATTAGAACAGGATCGGAAGAATGGTGAAGTATGTACAGAAAAACTGAGGGAAAATATGCAATTTACGTATTGAATGTATGATTTCCATATTTTAATAAGCTACAGTATAATTCTGCATTAAACAATAAATTAGCTTACCGCACCTGAGCTTTTGATCATTACAATACCACTTGATTATATCATAGGCAAAACGAATAGCCGAAAACATTTTATTTTTACATAAAGCATGGGTTTTACTCAATTAATCATTGAAAACTACAATAGGTTAGTTAGTTCGTGTTAGTATAGTGCATTCACAAATTTATATGGTAATAGAAACTCTAAATTAAATATCCTCAAACTTCCGGTAGCAACAGAACAATCTATGGTTTTTTTTTAATTTTAAGAATAAATAAAATTGTGAGATTTTATTTTTAAATTTTCTTTTAAGTGGGTGTTTTATAAAGATTGGTTAACTTCGAATGAAGTTTTCATGACAGATGAATATCAGTTGGTGAATCACTGAAAGTACATTCAGTGTGTTTATTGATCTTTTAGCTAACATAAAATTTTTTTAAAAAAATTGTTTCTCCTAGATTTTCATATGCATACTATATCTATAAAAAAGTACCTCCAATGGTATGTATGCATACAAAAATCTCCTACCAATTCGTGCTACACAATCTGAGAGCCTTAATAATTCATTGAAATAAGAACATATGACGAAAATATTTTTCAAAAATGTATGATTTGCACACACAAATATATATATATATATATATTTAACAAAACAATCTAACCTGTTGATGAATATAAGCAAAGTACCAGCAATCATTCATTTATTAACTATAATTCATTTTAATAGTTCAGATCATGAGGCAATTCAAACTAGACTACCATGGAAAACCTAGAAGCACTGGACGACTGTTTCGTCTTATTGTGAGACTCCTCAGCAGTGCACATCCATGATCCCGCCTAGCGAAGCTCGAACTCAAGACCTATCGGTCTCGCGTGAGAACGTTTAAACTCTAGACCACTGACTCGGTACCCAACGGTGTTGATATCTAACTTCAAGTAGTCCATAATTCATCCATCAAAATCTTTAATTTAAATATGATAACATATTGTTTTGCCGAGTACTACTATTACTATTATAAAACCTTGACATAATTAAAAACTCTGATTTAATCTTATAAATTTTTCAATATACCAATAAGACAATTAGTATCATTATTATTCAATGTAACAAATCTCATTAATTGAAATTAGACATAAATCATATGACTGTATAATAAGTAGAACAATGTCTTCATTAGTATACCTATTAAAAAACGTTATGATTGTTACTTATAAACACATTAATAAATTATAATAATTAAGCGTTAACTACATACTAGTATCAATCATATGAGAATGATTGATATAGGTATACTAAATGAAATTTATATGGTTGTAGCTTTCTTCTCTTTTATTCGATACAGTCAAATTTCCGACATTTATCATTGGAACACATTCAGCGTTATACAGACCGAGTTCAGTTATGAGCAATGAATTTAAGACATAAATATATAGAGAGAGAATAACAAGTATATTTTTTTAGCTTCTAAAAGTAGGATACTATAGTAACACGTTGCTTTTCATCAGGAAGTTCACTAAAAACGATAAGGTATTTAAAATGATAACAAGGGATCTTAACAAGAACTGAAAAACAACGAGAACAAAATAAAAATATAGTAAAATATAAAATGGCACAATTAGAGCAACCGTAGACAAACTACAGCATGAACAAGACTAAACTTCATGACTATCCAAGGTCAAGATCTAGAAGATAATAAAAGATGAATACACGCTCTTTTTGCTGTTGAAGTCGAACTCGGGTTGAACAAGTTACGATTAGGAGGTCAGCGCCTTGTAATACAGGCTCCGACCAACAAGTAGCTTTATCAACTGATTTCATGATGCAAACCTGTAATAAGTGACACTGAATAATAAAGTATATCTGACAATAAATTAGAGTTTTCTTAATATTGTATATATATATTGGTGATGAAAACAGAAAAATAGATTTCTACTTAATTCACCTAGTCGGTCAAAAAGAGATGTTCATAACTTAAATATACAACAAAATAACATTCGTGTTGTCGGAAACTCATAAATATCCCTCTACAAAGTCACTTTAAGTCCAGAAAGGGTCTAAAAATTTCGTCCGATCGGCATCACGCTGAATAATTACCTACGTTAATACTGCATTCGAAAGTCTACGGAAGTTTCTAGAAGATCAAGGTCACTAAAAAAACCGACAAGTGAATCCGATTTTATGCATATCAATTCAATTTGAATTGAAGCTTTTACTCATAATTCGCGCCTTTTTCCTATTATACGATTTTAAGTGTAGATATGGAGTCTAGAGAAGTATTTAGAAAGTCTGTTACAAGTGATTAATTAGAAGATTTACTGATGTATATTGTTGGGTCGGCTTCCGGAGAACTTCAACGGAGCCTCCAGAGGCCCACAAGGAGCCGAAGAGTCCTGGCCAATCAGAGTGTGATGGAACGTTCTAGAATTCCAACATGGCGTGCTACTATTGGTCGGTAGCATAATGTGTTGTTATCGGATTGGCTGTAAAATGATGTTGATTTAACAGACGCCAAAATCTATAAATACCCATGATTTTCTGTACAAAAATGAACCTTGGAATAAAGTGATTTCTCTCATTCTTGTGTCTTCTCTCTGGAGTTCAAGTCGCTGTGTAGTTCTAGACTGCGGGTTATCGGAATAGCTTAGGAATCGTATATAGCGTTCAACCTACACGACTTATCAGTGGCGACGGGGATGAAAACTTCAATGAATATTTCCTTGGAGCAATTAGAAGCTTATATGGTGCGTCAAGAAAAGAGGTTTGAAGAGTCCCGTATTAGAATCATGGAAACCCTGATGCAGAAATTCTGCCTGTCCGAGAAAAACCCTGCTTCTAGTGAATCTCAAGTATCACATACTGATTCAGTCATTAACGCCATCCATGAATTTAATTTTGATGGTGTAGCAGGTGTAACTTTCGAGTCGTGGTTTAAGAAGTATGAAGATTTGTTTTATATTGATCTTTGCAAACTGGATGATGCTTCAAAAGTCAGAATACTTCTTAGAAAACTTGGGACTATGGAACATGAACGCTATAGCAACTTCATTCTTCCGAAGAACCCACGAGATTTTAGTTTTGATGATACAGTCAAAACCCTATCCCAAATCTTCGGAGAACAATCATCTCTATTTAATATCCGTTACCAGTGCTTAAAGTTAACAAAAGAACCAGGAGATGATTGGGTGAAGCATGCAGGAACTGTGAACCGAGAATGTGAGAGGTTTAGATTGTCGTCCATGTCTGAAGATCAGTTTAAATGCTTAGTATTTATATGCAGCCTGCGTTCACCCGAAGATGCCGATATCCGAACCAGAATCCTAAGCAAACTCGAACACTGCCCTAATATGACCCTGCAAGAAGTGACTACTGAGTGCC